TTAAGAAGTCGCTGAAAAGTAGGGGGGGCATTTTTGATTCCCATAGGCATACGCTTGTATTCGAAATGTCCATTTCGAGAAGAAAAAGCCGTTTTGTGTCGGTCGTCCGGGTGAGTTTCCACCTGGTGAAAACCACTAGCGAGGTCGAAGACAGTAAAGTATGCTGCCGTCCCTAATTTATCCAATATGGCGGAAATATTGGGGAGGGGGTAGGCATCCCCTATTACCTTCTCATTAAGCGCTCGATAATCAATAACTACCCTCCACTTTCTTTTTCCCGAAGCGTCAAGTTTTTTCGGTACTATAAGAAGAGGGGAGTTATATGGGGAATTTGAGTTTCCGATAATACCGCTATTAAATTGTTTTAATAATTGTTCGTCAATTTGTGGTAGGGCTTCATCTGGGGATCGGTATTGCTTTTTATGAATTACCTTATCGTCAGTGGTGGGGATTCTGTGTTGGATTAAATGAGTGCAACTTAAAGGTTCCCCATTGAGATGAAAAATGTCGGCATATTCCTCGGCCCATTTATTTACAAGTTCTTTTTCTTCCGAATTTAAATGGGACACAAAAAGGGATTCTTTAACCTTTTGAACTCGCTCGGTGTAGGATAACAGTGGAGTGGAAAAATGGTCAGATTCTGAATCAGACAATTCTTCGCCCTCCAGTTTGCAAAAATCAAAAGGGATTAGTTCTTGGGGAGGCAATTCTATATCGATATCCTCTTCTGTAGTATTAATCGCTACGGCGTGACACACTCCATTTTTGCTACTTACTACGGCCTCGCCCAAGTATACACCTTTAGGGGTGTTAATTCGAGGGAGATAACCTTGTGACAAATCTGGATTGATCACGTTAATAGCGATTGGATTTCGAGTTCTGGCTCGGATTCGCAAAACCTTTTTAAAAGGTTTGATATGAGGTTTCAAAATCTCCTTTTCAGCCAATGATTCCTTATCCACAAACGGGATAGGGGTCACTGGGTTGGAGAGAGTGACCAGGGTATTGTGCCAGAACGATATCTGGGCCCTTTCCTGTCGAAGGTAGGGCCGCCCTAGAATTCCATGTGTTGAAACAGGAAAATTATTTCTTACTACATGAAATTCAACAGGTGCACTCGCGATGTTAATTTGAATTGTACCAATCGTTCTCACTGTGTGATTCGTTATTCCCGTGATTTCTGTACTCTTGCTCGGGTCAAGAGTAAGGTCGGGATCTAAGGCACACAATTTGATTAGATTGGTGTCGGATCCTGGATCTACTAGAAACCTAATATCTGATTGTCTGAATTCTGGGGCCGTGAACTGCACTACTGGGGAGTCCTCGGCCGTGACTCCTGCTCGTAGGACCTTACGGAATTGTCCTTGAATTGGACACTCCGTTGACGCTGTGGGTTTGGACTCGTCGGCGCGTCGGTATGTCGAGTCTGTTGAAAGTTTAAATTTCCTGGAGGTCCAGGGGATGCTGCACGCGTAGGGGCCGCATTAAACTTGAAATTTGAATTTTGTTCTTGATAGTTGCGATGAGATTGAGGTTGTTGGTATTGAGGGGGTTGAAAACTCATTGCTTGGATAGGGGGTTGGAAACTACCGAATTGTGACATCATCGAACGATAAAATGTCGCAAGTTGCTCAGGTGTAAATTGCAACACATCATTCGCCGATGTTTTCTGTGATCTATGTGACTCAAATCCTCTATCATTTTCCGACCTACGCTTTTCCGGATTAGAATTATTTTTCTCGACCTGTTTTGTATAAGGGCTAGGTGATCGTGGATGTTCTTCGGCGCGAGCAATATGATAAGACGTACCTCTAGATCGGTCTGAGTACTTGTGCCTTTCTTCAGCACGAAGGGCATGCTCAAAGGCTTCACTAAGGTCTGCCGGATTTCTCGTGTCCACAAAAATAGACATTTCCTCTGGCAGGCCTCGAATGAATGCCTCAAGGGCGCAATCAATGATTGGTTTCATCATAATTTCGCTTTCAGAAGTATCCTGACAACGGACGGCCAAACCTTCTATTAATCGATAGCGTGCGTTATATTTTGCTTCTAAAGAATGTTTTGCCCCACTCAGTAGACCTTGTAGGCGGTCGTTATAATCACTAACCGTCTCTGATTGTTTTAGTCTAATGCTCATAATATTATCTAAATACCATTGATACTTCTTTGAAGAAGCAAATCTTTTCTTTAAATGGGACACTAACTCGTCTAATCTATTGAAACGTTTATCCCTTACGCTTTCTCTAGCCGCACCCTTTAATTTACTGAGGACGGCCTTGATGTATCCAGGCTCGGAAGTTCCTGTCAAAAACACAGCTCCATTAGCTACGTCTTGTAGGAATTCCTTCAAAGGTGGATTGCGTCCATCAAAAATAGGGATGTGATAAGTGCATTGTTGTAGCGTCATACACTCTAAGACTGAAGCCATCGCGGCTGTTGTATCAGGATTAGCATTGGCAGGAGGAGGGGTTAAATTTGCGAACGTGCTTCCGCACGCTAAACCGGCTCCTTGTGACACGGGGTCCGTCATTTTTAGTGCAAGTATATATATGTAGATAAAAAAAATTTTAATTGTTATTCTCGATAATTATTTTTCACCACCGCGGAATATTCCTGTTAATTTGCGCGGGATATTTCGAGGTTAAAAAAAAATAAAATGATTTGAAAAATTTTCAATTTTGATTTTCGGAAGGTGTTTTAGTTAACAGCTGATTATAACGCGTCGCTATCCGGTTCAAAGTGGAAAGGTCAATGACCAATCGACCTCTCGGGGTCCTAGGGTCTCGTTTAATCCATATACCAGGCGCAGGGGTGGGGATAGCAATATTATGGTGGGACATAACCCTTAATTAAAAATTTTGTTTCCCCTTTTTTTTTTTTTTATTTATTTATATATATATATATATATATAATTTTTTTTTTTTTTTTTACAAATGGAGTGAACAATAGAAATTGGAGAAATTGGTAGAAAAGAGAAATTAATAAAACGAAAGAAAAGCTTTAATTTAGTTTTCCTTTTCCCTATTTTCCAAAGCCAATTTTACTCGACGCTCGATTTCTTTTCGTTTGTTTATGAGAACTAACTCGGCAAGACAATCATGAAATTCTTTCCATGAGCTTAGGGAGTTTTCCGAATTTTCCGACGAGGTTTCTTTTTGATTTTCGAGGTTACGTCTTGCTGCTATACGTTTATTTATATTTTCGTCACTCATAAGTTCTTTTTCTAATTTAGTGTAATTCTTAACTCTTATCAAGTTCCTCAGTTTCTTTCCTCCGTAAACATTTTTACATTTATGAGGCATTGCAAAACATTCTTGACAATTTAAGATAAACTAAAAGAAGCTAGATAAAAAAAATTGAATATAAAAATTTTTATGAGGACGTGGGAAAAGAAAAAAAAAGATACCCTTTTGTTTTATTTAATCAATCACAATGACGTCATCGTTGTAATTTACCGTAGTGTCGCTGTCAGAACTGTTGCTGTCAGAAATCAAAATAGGGGTGGGTACAATCTTGATCTTTTCTCCGTTGTAATTTTCGATACGTTTTACTCTCAACCGTAAGGTGGGGGTATCTGTAAGAATGTCTGCTGAATGTACCAAGGTCAAAGAGAGTTTTCTCAAATCCCGACCATTTATTACAGTGCCCCTTTTAAATGGGAACTTTGGGTTAAACACTATAAAATAGTGTAATCTCTCTGGAAGATTATTTTTAATATTAGTGTTAGTCAAGGAGGAAAAGGTTTCAGAAGGAATTGTTTGAGAGATAGCAGAATTTGAAATATTTGCCTCTACTGAAAATTCTTCTTGTACTCTTTCTTGTGTTTTAATAGAAGTAGGAAGTGATTTGATTAAAGTTGTGTTTGATCTTCTTTTTGGTCTATTCTTTCTGCGAGTTCTTTTTCCTCTTTGTCTAAAATTATTCGACATTGCGATTTATCATAGTGACAAAAATTCTTCTCATTCCTTCACAACAAATAAAATATTTTTAGGATTGTTTTGTAATAGAATTTCGGAGACTTGTCTTCCAGTGAGCGAATCACGGAGACTTGTCGTCACGGACTATCTATAACAAAATTAAAAATTAAAAATTAAACGTCTAGTTTGAATTTTTAATTTTTTAAAAAAAAAAATATTTTACTTGAGAGAAAATAATTAGAGAATTTGTTTAAGAATAAAAATTAACAACGCCTTATTCTCTCCATATAGTAATATATTATTTTAAAATTATTTTGTGATAGAATTTCGGAGACTTGTCTTCCAGTGAGCGAATCACGGAGACTTGTCGTCACGGACTATCTATGACAAAATTAAAAATTAAAAATTAAATGTCTAGTTTGAATTTTTAATTTTCAAAAAAAAAAAAACATATATTTCCCTCAAGAAAGAATAATTAGAGTATTTACTTAAAATAGAAATAGACCAAAACACTTATTCTCTCAACAAAAAGGAATGTATTATTTAGGATTATTTTAAAAGTAGAATTTCGGAGACTTGTCTTCCAGTGAGCGAGTCACGGAGACTTGTCGTCACGGACTATCTACAATTAAGGTCCCAAAATTGAATTAAAATAATTTTTAATTCTATGTCAACATACCCTTTGTTAGAAAGAAAGAGGTGATATAGAGAAATTTGAAAATTTAAAAATAAGAAAGAATTATTAAGTGAAAATTTCGAAAGGAAATAGAAATCCCTTATAAGAATTCCTCCCTTAAATTCTGAGGGGTAGCAACGTCAGGAAAAATCCCACCGCTGCCACCATCAGTTTGTTACGAACGAGAAAATATTTAAATAATTAATATAGTTGATTTAACTATAATGATTATTTTAGGCTTTTGAGATGGCCCTATTTTCCAGTTTGTTGGAGGAATTCAAACTGCCAGAGCGTGAGCTCTGTTTATCTTACTGGGATTCGTGTTTCCTAGTTGCCGAAAATTCAGAAATTAATTAAGGAGGGGGGGGGGGGTAAGGAGAAATATAAGAAATTAAATAGAAAGAAAATTAAGAATAATAGTTATGATTTATTATTGTAAATTAAAGAAAGGATCCATCCGCCTCTCAAACAATAAAAGAAAGGAGGATGGGGTAAAACTAACCAGAACGATACAATTACTTACCCGTTCTGGAACCTTAAGTCTACCGCCAGAATTTCTGCCGACGGGCGAAGATTTCACAATACGCACTATTTATTGTCCTTGAAAAATTGTTATAAACAGAAAATATTTTGTAATTAAATATATTATAATTATTAATATATTTAAACACCGTGGGCTTTTGAGATGGCCCTATTTTCTTTAATCAATTTCCTAAGTTAATTCCTCAAACCATTAAAACAGGGCGGACGCGGCAACAACCGAAACCGGCCGGTCTTTTGACAAGAAAGGATTTTTATTAAATTTATTTCCCCACTATTTTAATTTTTGAGACGACCCCGCGGATTTCGAGGTGTTTAAAATTTTATTTTACGTCCGGCCAAATTGCTTGTATAAGCATACAATCAATTTGGATCCTGTATACCGGACGGGAACGTTATAGGAAATTTAAAAAAAATTTTAATCCGACAGAGTTCAAGTCTCTGTGCTGTGGGAAACCGTACTGTTCTCAAATTTTGAAAATGGCCTCCGTGGACTTCGGAGTAATTTGTATTTTTATTTTCGTCCGACCGAATTATTCGTGTAAGCACACAATTAATTCGGATCCTCGGTATCGGACGGGAACGTTATAGGATTTAAGAAATTTCTTTTACACCGATGCCAGAGTCTAGCTTCTGGGGGTCGCGGCAACCGAACTGAACAATTTAGATATCTAATTAATGAGCTTATATAGTTTTACTTCCTTAAGAAATATGGAAAGGTGGGGACAGGGCGTTGGTCCTGTTGCCATGCCAAAATTGCTGAACTTGCATTTTGTGGAATCGGTTCATTGCACTATGTTGAAATAAATTCCTTTTTCTTGTATTCTTAGAAAGAATATTTTCTTTTTAATATTCTTTTAATTATTGAAACAATTTTTAATTTGTTTATTTATTTATTTTATTTTTTTTTTAATTAATCTCTTAAAATAGGATTAATGTAAGTTGGAAATAATGGACATTTCAAAATAGAAATTCCATTCTATTTTGTAACCCTAAAAAAAAAAGGTTGTTACAATTCCAACGTTAAATCATTTGTCAATAATTATTTTAATGTGCATTGGAATCTTCCGCAAGTTTGCAATTTATGGCGGGCAAGGTTTATAAGCTAGGTTGGTACAGGGAAACGAGAGATAAATTATATTTTTGAAAGAAAAGAAATAATAATAGAATTAATAATAATAATAGCCTAAACGTTCCCATCTTTATATATCGTATAATTGTTAATTGTATAAATATTTTTAATTAAGGCCGGGCCATCATTCACCCTATTTTCAAGGTTCGAAAAATTAAAAAAAATGCATTTAAAATTGAAGGCAGACGATTATAGTAACATTCGCCGTTAGTGTGAGAGAGAAAGAGCGATAGGATAGAAGAGTACACTATACTCCGTAAGAACAATATGCCTGAGAGAGAACGCTTCGATGCTATACACAATCTTCTTTCTCTCTCGCACAATGTCAAGGGGAGCGTGGGGAGCGCGGGAAGTCTTCACTCAACGCGTTGAGTGTAGCCTCACGTCTATTCTTCGTGTATATATATATATATATGCATACAATATGCATTTCATTATTTTAATTCTAATAGTTAATAATTTTCCTTTTTACTGTTAATCACATGGATAATACACATATATGCACACATATACATATACCATAGCCATTGTTGTTGTTTTAAAACAAATTATAAATTCAATAAAATAATACCCTTTTATTAATCGATATTTATCAATATAGTTTAATTAATAATTGATAGTTTATTACTCGTGTAGGTTCCAAGGGCTTGCCTCATGAGTTGAATAAAATTTAAAAATATAAAATTATTTTGGTGTCATTGCCTCGCGAGTTGCACCATTTCGCTGACACCGAAATTCCTTAGTGCAATACGATCTTTAACTTCCTTCAACTTGGTTCGAAGGAAGTTTTAAAAGAATTTTAAATAAAATAATTTTCGAAATCTTTTTAAATTAAATATGGGCGTAACATTTTCCATTTCATAAAAACTAATATTAACACAAAATTCGTAATAGTAATCTGTGATTGTGGTGAAGTTTCTAGTTTAATTATAAACAAAACCGATAATCGTGTGGCGTCAGCGGTTGCTAACTTTTATTGAAAAATCATTAGCCTCGTCACAGCTACCTCGTAAAAAATATGAAAAACGATAATTGTGTTTATACTACACCACCCATCTAAAACAGATGTGGCAAAGTGTTTGGATATATAAATGATATTCTTTCACACAAATGTTCAATCGACCAGACCAACATTTTCAAGTCTAAATTAAATAGTTTATTTAAATTATTTACATTGTCAAATAGTTTTAATATACTTATAATCCTCAACTAACTAAACAAAATAATCATACATAGAAACTACAAAGTTTAAAAACAAACTAGAAAACATAAAAATTTTTTAAAGGGAATATTTTAAAATCGATAATCAATAAATTTTTTTCTTCATTAAAAAGAAAGAAAGTCGAATCAACACTTCTGATCACTTTATTTTCTTCAATTTTAAATCATCTCTTGATAACCTATAGATTGGGTTGTTATCTCTATAGGCTAGAGGATTTTCTGCTTCACGTTCCGCGATATCATCCAACAGTTCCTTCTCTGTAGCTTCTTCAATCTTTTTTCCTATTCCATAAAATGTCTTCTCAGTATAAATGCGATCTTTCAGTCTGAAAGTTCCATGAATCTATAAAAGTGAATAGAAATTTAATTTCTTTTTTAATCAACTTATTGGAGTAAATTTGCATATAATTAAATTCATGTGCTGTTCAATTAAATTAACCTTATCCCAAATTGAGCAATTAAATCCAAAATTAACATGAAAGTACTGATGATGATTATCATGAAAAATGGCATCAGGTTGCCATGGTTGCCACCAGAATGCTTTGAAGTTAACTCCAGAATGGTCAATGATTCCATGATAATAATTGTACATTGATATCACACAATACGGCACTGTAAACATAAAATAAAGTTCATTAGCTAATTGAACATGGATGTGAAATTCCGCAACAAAAGGTACCTGAGGCAGGAAAAATAAATTTAGAACTTTTGATGTCAATCCATTGTTGATTAGTTGAAATTAAATACCATTCGTATTATAAATTAGAGATATTAACCCTTTATGTCACAGTGGATTGCTCAGCGACCCACCTACCTTTTTCTGTTTTCTGCATTTCTATTTTGACTTTAACACAGTGGACAAGCGTATTTAAATAAAAACTGCTTCCCTTCGTTGACACACCCAGGAAAAGAATACAGACTCACGAATACAGAGACGAAGTTAACCACAAAGACTCAAAGAAAATTATAACATCGACAAAATTTCCTACAGACATTTTTTGAGAAGCAAATTTTTATAGAGAAACGTAAAGTAGCTAAATTAAAATGGGACAAAACCCAATCATAAAACCATCATCTGATGATGCTACGAGAATCAGACTACTTGCCAAATTTTATCGTGGATGATTTATATTTATTTTACAAAAATTGGCTTTTAAATGTTGAATAATAATTTCAGTACATAAAACTAAATTATAAAATTACCACGTTTACCTAGTAACAAGACTCAATTCATTTTCCTTAAATTTGGAGATAACAAAATTTTTTCAAAATTTTTTCGTTAACACTTTCTAAAAAAACATTTGATCACATTAAATTTAAATTTGAATGAATTTTCCAGATAATCAATAATGATGTATGAGTAACAAATCGACTTACAAAAGAACACAAGATGTCGGTTTGTTTTCAATCGAATCGGTAATACGTGCAAGGACTTAGAGGAAAGTACCTCGTCAAAATCAGAATAAAGGACCCGTTGGGATTTCAGAATGAGATAAGACGGTGGTAAAATATTGAGTTCTTGCGTCCGCCATGTAAAATAGTACCTATTGGAGGACTACGAAGGCTAGATATTTCATCCCCGACGTCTTATTGGATTCGTTCTCGACTCGTGGAAAATTCAAATTAGAGACTTCGCAAGTAAACTAAGAGAAAAAGAAGTCTGTAGACGGTTTAGTGATTTCTCAACCTTATTTGCGATAAATTAAAATTTGATCGTCAACCAGTGACAAGACGAGTTTAATTTATGAAGTCAGATAAAGTAAGTGATAATTGACTGAGGGGTAGATTTAACATTACACGGAAAAAAAAAGTTCCCAGATATTTCAGGAATTATTTCCTAACTCTTGGATACGTGGTAACAGCTCTGAACTAGCGTCGAACATTCAATGGTAATCAATGAATGTTTGAAAGAAATTCGGGAACTGTATTAGAAAACGCTGTAAATAGTCCAATAGTCTTTTTTTCATTTCTTTCTCATGTAAAGTCCATGGCACTGGCCGCAACTGTTTCTGAAATTTTCGGGAACTCGTCAAGGAATCTTGGTGCGCAGAAACTGTGCGCACCAGTCTCAACGTCAGTAAGACTTGCGTGCCTTATATATTTATTTTATGCTGAGGTATTTAACGCTCCTGTTTAGCTCACGTGGATAAGACGCCGGACTTCTATTCCTCGGGTACGCGAGTTCTGTTCCAGCCGCCGTCGATTTTTCTCTCATATGGTTTTTTCTATTTCAGAAACTTAATAAAAAATAAAAATTGTTATGTGACCTTCAAGGATAAATGTGTGTGTGTGTGTGTGTGTGTGCGGACGTGTCAAGGAGGGGAAGTGGGAGGGGGGAAGCAGAATCCATTTTTTCTTGCATTCGCCTAACTTTTCGATTTTCTTGAACAGTTCCCGACTTTTTCAAGAACAGTTTGCCGAGAAGTGGTGAAATAGTTATAATTTGTAGAGAAATAGTAAATGACATATTTAAACGAGGCAACCTTTAGTTCTCTGTGAACTACCCGCCGTATCCAAGAGTTAAGAACGAAGTTCCCGAATAATCTTCGAACTTTTTTTTCCGTGTATCCTTCATTACTTTGATAGTAATAGTAATGTGTAACGTTGTTTATAAATAATCACGTTATCAATGTCTAATTAAGATTTTGCTCAAATCCATGAATTTAATTTTTTTATTAATTGTAGAAATATTAATTTATTATCAACTAAATTACCCATATGGGTGATTCTCCAAAAACCGGTCACTTTTAAGTTGATAAAATTTTTTTTTTAATGTTTAAAAATTGAACTTTCTTTTATTAATTACTATTCATTGGTATTTAAATAAACTATATTTGAAGTAGGTACGCTACAAAACTATTTAAAGTTTAAAAATATTAAAATTATTTAAATTTGACCAGGATCATTTTGAATTTTTTCACGTCGCTCTTTTTCGACATTGGTTTTTTTCTGTTTGTTTAATTATTCTTTTATGTTAGACAATCCATATCAACTATATTTATTTTAAATTACATTTATTAATAAACATTAGTTTTCGTATAATTAGCACTTTTCGCGTAATTGAAATGAGATGTGCAAAATTAAACAGGCAAACTAACCTTATCAGAGGCGTAACATCGAGGGGCACTGAAATTCATATTTCTTCTATATAGGTATTATTAATTGAATTAAATGATTTATTTTTATTATTTTCAAAATTATATTTAAAAATATATGAACAGATTAGAAAAATTTTAACTTTATCACCTATTTTAAAAAAAGTTTTAGGCACGGGCACACTTTTTACTTGTTTCGCACCTACCACGTGCAAATGTTTTGACACGACAAAGGACTCCACGACAATGGAAATTTGTACAAAATCCATTAATACATATTTTAAACAAAAGTAAATAAAAAAATGGCTAGGTATACACTTTTGTCCTACTAAACTGTAAGCTTTCATCCGTTTTTTATTGATATTTATATTGAAATATTAAAGTTATGACAGCGCACGACAAAGGAATGAATAAAAATACGCAGTGTTTTTCTAGTGCTTTTTCTTAAAAATATGAAAAATATAATTTATTTTCCAATTTCTCTTGAAGATTTGAAAAGTGACATGTTTTTTCTTTAATTTCCAATTAATTTTGATATAAAAAGTGCACGTCTTATAGTTTATTTATACACGTTTATCCTTTGTCGTGCCAGCATGGAGATTTTTAAAGACACTTATATTTTAATAATTATCAATAACTATATTGATGTATTAAAAAATTTCATCGATAAAAATTGAAGCTTTTGAGTTAATCTTTCATAATATTTATTGAATAATTAAAGATAGTTCTTTTTTTATAAGTAATAGTACTTTAAAGTTTGGTACTCAGAGGTAAAGACATATTAAATTGCTGTTTTCCAGCTGTTAAATGTTGTTTTCCACTAAATTTGTGTTAAAAAATTATCGTTTTTTATAAAGGGTATAATAAGTGATGTTTAAATAATATGTTTGTCCAATGTTAATATTTAAATGTTAAGTTGTTTAGAAGATATAATTCAAAGACATGAAATTGCCCACTTTCAGGAGAATCACCCATATACGATACCCAGAAAGGATGTCAATTAACCTATTTTAGTCATTTCGTGCCTGGCTTTCGATTAACACACAGATCTACAGATTTTCAAAGGAGTAATGACATGAATAGGAAATTTTATTCTAACAGTAAACGTGGAACACGAAACATCAACAAATACTAGCGTAATTCTAGTCACCGTACTTCATATTTTTAACGAAGGCGTCTCCTCAATGCCTCATTACTCATAAAATTCTTGATAAATACATTTTTTATTTAATTAAAGCTCTTGACAGGTATTTTTAAGTAATTAATAAAGTTTCATTTGGGCTTTTAATTATGAATAGTATATTAAGCAACAAGAGGAGAAACGCAGCCATTTCTTTACGGTGACACGAGTGGAGGTCGAGGGCGCCGTAGGCGCCCCGAGACCGGAACGAGTGTCACAAAAATCATCGTAAAGAAATTGGCTGCCTTTATTCTCGTGTTACTTACGATATTTTTTATTCCTAATGCACAAAAGCGGCGATTTCAGATAGCAGACGACAGGGAGTAAAAGTCATTCACTTGTTCGATTTGTATGAAAATGGCGGCCGATTTCTCCCTTGGGCAAGAAAAATGCATGTGAACAGCTAATTTTCTTGCCCTTGGGAGAACACGGCCGCCAATTTCATACGGTCGAAGAAATGAATGACTTTCCTCCCTGTCGGCTGCTATCAGAAAGCGCCGTTTTTGTGCATGTGGGATAAAAAGATTATTTTATTATACACTTACTTTTGTATATTTACTAAAAAATGTCTGCGAACTTATTTTTTATTAAGAGTGACCCATTATGTCTAAATAAAAAGAAAACTTACCCCAATGTAGTGGACAGAAGAATAATGGTAAGAACATGCTAACTTGAATGTGTAGAATTTCCACAGGATGAATAGCAGTGACGGAAAATGCTGTTGGTTGTTTATACTTATGATGGAGCTTGTGGAAGTTCTTGTACAGCCATGGTGTGTGATAAGTACGATGTATCCAATACATCAAGTAATCCTGCAATCAGATAAAGAAATTCCAGTCGAAACATACTTTTCCGAATAGTTATAATCGTATGACAAATGTTTTCAATCGAAAATATGGAAATTCGCCAAGCTGATATCGATGAGTTGTTCTCAAGATTCTATTTTACGTAAAGACTTTAGTATTTTTACTGGTATCCTATTCTGTAAATCAGCGAAAAACAAGAGTTTTAAAAGTTGCATATTCAACCCTAATTAGATGCACTGATTGGTTTAAGATAGATGGGTAGTTCTACAAACGAAGGACGAAAATAAAGAAAATTTTGGCACAATATTTTTTTTACGTTCAGGTTTTAAAAAGTAGGTTAGATTGAAGTTAAAAGTATTATCAAAGTTACCTAAAAGTGGCCAGTCAAAAAAATAAAAATTGTAAATTTTACATCTTAAGCACATGTGTATTCTGTCAGAAAGTGCCAGGAAACTGAGAACCAGGAAACTGAGAATTTGGTCATTTTTCGTCTAAAAAATTGAAAAATAATGCTTAATAACAAAAGAAAGCATACTGGTCAACAGAGAATAAGGTTCTACGACACCTAGAACAACAAAAGTATAAAAACATAAAATATTTTTTTTTAAAATGCGTGCCAGGAAACTGAGAATTTGTCTGACCAAATGGCCATTTCAGTCACAAAGTACACAATTTTAGTTAATTGAACTGCAAGTTAAGTAAAATGCAAGTAATATCATATTTAGTTAACCTTTACTAAGCACTGTGAAAAATGGTGAATTAATTTTAACTGAGAATTAATTCGATGGACAAAATTCAAGATAATATTTTTTAATAAAATATCAAGTAATGTAGGAAGGAAAAGTGGGGAATTTCACTTTCAAGCCAAAATACGAAAAGGGCGTCTTATTTCCTTATTGGCTAATTATTTTTTTTTCTCACTCACAGAAAGATTAAGGAGTGAGAGAGGGGGAGATCGAGAACGAGGTAAGAGTGAGGGGTATAAATTTTATCGGTATTCCATATACTAATGGACAATTTTTCACCAATTTCTGACCTGTGAAAGAGAGAGAGATCGAGAACGAGGTAAGAGTGAGGGGTATAAATTTTATTGGTATTCCGTACACTAATGGACAATTTTCCACCAATTTCTGATCCCCCCGCCTCCAATTGTGGACAATCGTGAAAATTTAGCAAACCCTCTCCCCTTTACATTTCTCCACGTAGACAATGCACATTTGAAAAGTATGTAAGTATTTTTTTAATGTTACTCCTGCATTTTAAAAAGTAGTAAAGCTCATTTTTGAACATATTTCAAAGCACGAAATTACAAAAATGATTAACGATTAAAATAATAAATAAACTGTTGGCATGCAGATTATTTAGAGCAGGATGTAGTCAATAATAATACACAAATACGGATGAAATCGGTTGTTTATTAAGAGCTCGTAGACGATCGAGACGTTCACGGTCGAAGCGATATCGAGAAGTAGAAGGAGTGCGTGCGCACACGGCAGTGACGTAGAATCAACTACTGTTAGAGTCAAGCGAGATATTCGGCGCGAATATACAATATTCCAACACTCACTCCCGAGATTGACTCGTTTACAATATAAATAAAAATTATAAATTTTACAAATTTCAAGCTAAAATAATTTATAAGTTTCTCAATTTATTTTAAATATAGTCGTTTCAAGTCCATCCTTTCTCAAGTTGAATATTCTGGATACTTCAGCATTGTCGAATTTGATATATGTAATTTCTGTAAATCTTAGGAAACCTTTCGAAAAGCTCATCTACCAATCTACCAATCATTATGTCTGAGTTTCATTCAGTAACTGAAAATTATTCAAAATAATTAATTTCGTCATTTAAGTATATTTATTACTGTCGTCACATATCGTATACTGTCCGTCGTGTATTTCAGTTGTTCATTTAAATTTTTCTTAGAAGAACTGTCGTTTAATTATTTGTTTATTTAAACTGTCTAGAAGAGAAACTGTCTTATATATTAGTTGGTTTTTTTTTAAATTACCTAAGAGGAATCTGTCGTTATTAGATATATATATATATATATATATATATATATATATATATATAGTTACGCATTAAACTTTTATCACACAACTTTGTTGTTCGTTATTATATCAGCCAATTATTATGTAATTGAAAAACATTCGATATTTACACAATCGTACTTAAAATATTATTTTATACATTCTTGATGAACATCCGTCATGTCATATGCCTTAATTTATTTCGCCAATAGTTTTGTACATATCGTTGCAGCTTTATTATCATATTTAACTAGTCGTTTGTAAATAAAACTTTGTTCGTCGGGGATTCGCTTATCGTCATAATTTTGTTAAAATATTGACTTTTATCAATAGCAATATTCAATCTCAAATTTTAATAAACAATGTAAATTTGATTATTAGTATTTCAAGAGATAATGTCTTTAAACAGTCGCATTACATACAAGAATCACATCTGAAAAACATTATTTGCTATTAGCAAAAACTTATGTTCAAATTAGCAAACAGATCTTTTTGTCTACTTATGAAGTTAAAATATAATTTTAATTTCAGTCAAACGTTAAATTATTCATTTGATCAAGTTCCACTCGTTTCCAGTAAGATTATAATATAAATTTTATCTTAACTTATAGTTTTATCTACGTGATAGAAAAATAATCAATCATTATTCTTTAAGAAATATCAAGAGCTTTTTTATAGAATTCGAACTGTCATTTGTTTCCACGTTCTTTTTGTACTTGATTTGATAACTGTTCTAATACATTTGTTGATTTTATAAAATTTATTAGCTGATCAATATTTCGTTCACATCTGCTTCTTGTATAACTGCCGTGTTTTTTGTTGTCTCTAAGTCGTATTTTCATATCTAACAGACATTCAGGTTCACATGAATTTGATTAAGATCGTTATGAGTTATCGTTGTTAACACTGTTCGTATCAAAATTAATATTTAAATACTGTCGCATAAATTTATTTTAAATCACATAAATTTTTATGTTATAAATACTGGAATTATTGGCCTTGCTTTCAATTTAAAAGATCTTAAACTGTCGTATTTTCGATTTAAAAACTCATCTTAAATAAATATTTTGACTTTTTACTATTTTTAACTATCATTAGTTAATCTATTATAGAATATAATTTATACTTTAACACCAAATACAATTGGTTGTTAATTCTTCGCAACTAATCGTTTTAATTTTTAAACTCTATCGTTTGTTTAACAGTCAGCTGGTTTTCACTAATCTTTAATATAAATGTAAAATAAAATTTGTGTCTTATTTTCTGTTCTAATGAACTCGTCTTTTATATTAGATTCTTTAAAAGAATCGTAAATTCAGAAAATTTAGTTTTTACTAATTTAAACAGTTCTCTGACTAAATGAGTCTTATAATTTTTTCGTGTGAATTTAATATTTATTTATTTATACTTTTGTTCAATTCATCTCCCTCCGTTTCTAATAATCGTTTTTAAGGTTTAGTAAACTGTTTTTTATTTTATCTCCCTCCGTTTTTAATAATTCGTCTTTAAGGTTTAGTAAACTGTTCTTTATTTTATCTCCCTCCGTTTTTAATAATTCATCATTGTTTTTATAAAAATCTAAACATTTTGAATCGTTTAATTTCATTTCGTTAAAATAATCGATTATTATAAATTTACTTAGAGAAATTCGAAAGTTAACTTATTTATCGTATCATTTGGTTAAATCTTTCTCGGATTCTATTTGTCAAGAAATATCGAAATTATCAAACTGTCATATATATTTTTGTATTGTAAAAACTTTTTCGTATAAATTCTTACATATATGTATATATTACAATTTAGAAGACTCGTCGAAAATTATTTAGATTTTAGGCTTTTATTTTATTTCTATTATATTCCTCTAACTTTCGTAAATAACCAATAGTCATTTAATTAGTTTGTATACGCTACAATATAGCTTTATTTGTTTTAACAAAATCGCTGTGATGTAAAAATTTGAACTTTTGCAATTGCTGACATTTTGGAAACTTTCGTTAACCATTTTATCATTGTCCTTTTGTAAAATTTGGTAAAAATGTCATTTTTAGAGTATTAATATATTTTTCAGTTGTTTTCATCAAGTCGTTTGTTGTACAATCGTTATTTCGGCTATCACTTATTTTTGAGAATTTCGTTATTTTGATTCGCTTTTTCTTTGTAATCTACAGAAGTGTCAAAAAACAATACGAAGTATCTGAAGTGTTAAACCTATAAAGTTTTGTATATATATAAGTTTGATGCAAACAATTCGTTCGTTTTAGGATTAAAACTATTCACATAAATATCGTTTAAATAAATCGAAAAACCTGTCTAAAATAACAGTTCGTTTTTTTTATTTATTGTTAAAATGAATTGTAAGGAAATAATTGTCGTATTAAAGATATGAAACAAATGTATCGTCTGTAATTTATCCGCCAACAACTCGTAAAAATACACATAAGGTAATAGATTAATTGAAAGTTTAATTATTTATTTGTTAACAATTAAATTAATTATTAAATTATAAAATAATTATAATTTATTGAAACCATTATTAATTATTAAATAATTAATACTATACTGTCATTACTAATTCGCTAATAATAATTTATTTTCAGTTTTCTCTGAAGCGAATTCATGGAAAGATCAGTCATTTGGTTTAAAGTTATTATTAGTAATTGTCGTTTAATTTTTCGTTAACAATTCGTTTATTTATGTACTTTTTTAAAATTTATTTATTTTTTAAATTTCGTTTGAATTAAAGGAACAGTTATTATCTTAGAGTACTGGACAAATAGATTTATCTATAATTCTAAGCCGCTATAGCTATTCATCATCGTTCATTCGTTGCTAAATCTGTAGTTTTATTTTTGTTATGCATCGTCAAGGTCATATAAAAAGGGTAAGATTCAGTCAATTTGAGTCAGCACTATCGTTTATATTTAAACTGCCATTTATGATTGAAAACTAACAAATATCCTTTCGTTATTG